AGACTCAGTAACTCCGAGCAATGAATCAGGCTCCAAAGACATTCCTCATCCTTGTGATAAATCCAATGAACTGCAAGATGACAGACCAGCTGAGGCTAAAGAATTCACAAATCAGAAAGCTAACCATTCGAGAGGATCTAATAACCATGCCTCAAGTCATAATCCAGAATTGGCTGTGGTTGAATTCTTAACCTCAGCTGAGCAATCAGTGGAGGTGGGAGAAAGGCTACCAGCTTTAGTAGCTGGGAAACAGGCTCTTGAGCAGATAGTGGAGGAAGAAGAAGACCCAAAAATCAACAATGCTAAGAACCTGGAAAAGGAAAGCCAATAAGAAAGGGAGACTTCTGAGAAATTCAAATGCTATGGAGACAGAGCTTGCTATAATGGGACAAAAAAGAAGCATTCTTAAAGTGGAGCAGACCACTCATGTGGAAGGAGAAGCAGATGATGTGCTATCAAATGCAAAGAAAGTCAAACTGAAGGGTATCATGGTGGAGGAGGCCAGCCTCGAGTGGCCCCCGAAGAAATAATGAGAGCTGTGGTGTGGAACTGTAGAGGGCTGGGTGGGCCCTCCACAGTTCCCCAATTGCGAGAGGCCATTGTGTCTCATCACCAAAATTTTGTATTCCTTTCGGAAGTTAAAAAACAAAAAAGTTATGTTTCTAATGTTTGTAATAGATTAGGTTTTGGTAACAGTTGGTTTTATTTGGAACCTTTGGGCTCTAAGGGAGGTTTACTTCTTTGCTGGGATAATAATATAAAGATCCTAACTTATAATGGCAATGATTGCTGTATCCAAGTTCAGTTTGTTGGGTTCGCCTGTACCGTACAGGTTATACGCAGCGGAAAATTATTTTTCAAAAACAAGTATTTATCACATAAATACTCAACCCACACGTACATATAGCGAATGCACGAATCGTCATCATTTAAAAACACGTAATAATACAAATTACGATTTGTGTTAAGTAATTTAGAAAATTACCTTTGTTCTTGAACTCCTTCAAAAACGACGATGGATGAGGAAATCAATTCCCGGTTTGGTAACGTCCACTTCTTGATGTTACTCGCTTTAGGAATTGAAACGTCTTCCCTCTAAGAGCATCCACCTTTTGAACTCCGGTTCCGACAATAGTTTCTTCGCTAGTAGAAACTACTCGGTTTTTCAATAAGTATAGAGTATATATATTTATAAGGAAATTTTACAAGAACTCTTTCTTGTTTTATCACTCAACTCTTTGGATGATTTTTCTCTTTGGAAGAACTTATAAAAACTTAGCAAATTATGTGCAAATATTTTGCACATATTTATACTAAACATTTTAGCATAAAATAATCAATATTTGATAATTATTTATTTTAAATAAAATCATATTTTATTTAAATTATCATACCAAATATTGACTTTTAATTAATAATGTGGAGTGGT